AACCTCAGACCAACTCAACTGAAATTACTCTCTTCAAACTCACCATGGATTTCTTAACCGTCAAATCTAATGGTCTCTCCCCCTCCCCTCTTCATTCTTTATCCATCTGCTGCATTTGACAGTGTTGAGCACCCTACCCTCCTGGATACTCTCTTCTGTGGGTTTTTGTGACACTACTCCTTCCTGATTCTTCTCCAGCCTTTCTTAGTCTCCTTTGCTGTTTCATCGTTCAGACCTACACCTTACAACTGTATTCTTCAAGTCCTCCTACTCTTCCTTCTTTACCTTCATTCTCCTGATGACCTCATCAGCTCCCCAGGCTTTTATTATCATCTCTATGCAGATAGTTCACAGATCTATATATTCAGTCCAGGTTATCTCCCTGGAGGTTCTTAACATCACCAATTGCCTATTGTATACTTACACTGAATCGCCTGGACCCATTTCAAATTTGGAATGTTCAAAACTGATCTCATTATTTATATGCCCTCCACAAACTCAGCCATCTTCCAAACCTCCTCATTTTTGTTGAAGAATCCACCGTTCTTTCAGTCTCCCAGGTTTGTAACCTGATTTATCAATCTCCACCATACTTGTATTTCCAACCAGCTGCCAAATCTTGTCATTTCTACATCCACAATATCTCATATCTAATTCCATCTCTCTATTCACACAATTACACTTTCATACAGCTCCTCAACATGAGTAGCCTGGATTATTGTGACTTGCCCAGGTCACACAGCTAGTAGGTTTCTGAAGCTGGATTTGAACTCAGGTCCTCCTGACTCCAGAGCTGGTCCTCTCTGGGTCACTTAGCTGCCCTAAATGATCTTTATAAGGTCCTTCCAGCTCTTTATCTCATGAACTTGTGGAAATGAAATATTAACCCAGAACCACAAAAAAAAAAGGATTTGAAATAATCAATCTACACAACAAAGCAAGAAGGAAAGGCAACTGCTTCCTGTGGGGACCCAGAGAGGGTAAGTGATCATCCCAGGTCACACAGACAGTAAATGACAAGAGGTAGCATTTGAATTCAGGTCTTTTGATTCCAAAGTGAATGTTCTTTCCATTGTACCTCACTGCCTCTTAGGGCTGTGGGCAGAACTGTAAGAAACAGAGCTGCTATTTTCCTAGCTGTTAGGCTGAAAAGTGTCTTGTTTCTGCTATTCTTGATTTAAATGACAGAGGGACTGTCCTCACCAATTAGCATGTATCAAGTGCCCCCAGGGTATATGGCTCCATAATAAGCACTAAGCCATAGAGAACCAATTTCTTATTCTCTTTGTTCCATTTTTTAGAGGATTTAGGCCATGCTAATCTGTCTTTTCTTTCTGCTTTCAGTTCTTCCTGATCATATATCCCCGAATGAGATCATTGAGTGGCTTGGTTTTAATAGCATAGTTCTTCACAATTTTTAGATAACAGCCACTGAATTCCAGAAAAATTCTTAATTCTTAAAAGTTTTGAACACAGCCAGCTGAAGAATACCTTTTCTTCATAGTTGTGGGCTTGTCAATGTTTAAAACCAGCTCTTCAGAAAAAAAAGTATGTTTAACCCACTTTTAAATTTAATCTGAAGTTTTTCCTTTTCTCCATTGTTTTCTTAAGGCTAGACAATCAACAAAACTATAAAATTGAACCCTGATTTGCAGTTTTGATTATTTCCAACAGCTAAACGCTACCATTGAAAATTTAACAATTGGTTCTCTGGCTCTATCTCATTTTTGTATGGGACCCTCCTATGTGAGAAAGGGTCTGTGAAACTAGTACCTGTCACCTGACAGCATCAGATCAACTTTCAGTACAATGTTTCAACATTTTCATCAGTCTTTCCCCCGTGATCTCCCAGCGTCTTTTTAAAGACAACAAAGTCATCTAGCAACAGCAACATTTCCATGTAGTTCCTGTCTCCAACTACCTTCTCCATAAGTTACTGAAAGATGGCTTAGGTTTTGAGAAGCTTTGGGGAATAATACATTCAAACTGATAAAATGCTGTGGAAAGGATGAAGGCTGCTTTTTCTTTATCTTTCTTTGCTATTGGAACCTGGTAGTATCCACTGTGTAAATTGAACAGTGAAAATTACTAGCCCAGAAAAGAATCCAGGACATCTTGAACTCTGGACATGATATTTTGGTCTACTCTAGTGATCTTATTCAAAGTTTGGGTAACCCTACACACATATAGACTTTCCCAGTTTTCTTCTCTACTATGACTATAGGTCAGTAGGGTCAAACGCAAATAGAAAAAGACCCCTATAGGCCACACTATGACTTAGAAAACCACAAATGAACATTATCTATATTATATTGTATTTTTACTTATTTTGTTAAACATTTCCCAATTAACATTTTAATCTGGTTCCTGGCCCATTGCACTTGGCCTGTGGTAGTTTGACACCTCAGTTGAAGGTGATGCAGAATGTTGGATTCTGTAATAATGCCACTGTTCTGCAGTTCTTTCAGAGAATTTATGAGATCATTCATTGTGGAAAAGGGAATCTTCCCTGACCGTTAGGCATTGTAGGTCGAGAAGTGGATAGAGTGCTGAGCCTGGAGTCAGGAAGACCTGAGCTAAAATCCAGCCTAAGACACTAGCTGTGTGACTGTAACAAATCACTTAACCTCTGTTTGCCTCAATTTCCTTAGCTGTAAAATGAGAATAATAATAGCACCTTCCTCCCTGGGTTGTTTCAAGGATAAAATGTGATAATATTTGTAAAGCTCTTAGTACAGTGGCTGGGGTATAGTACCTGCTTAATAAATCCTAACTTCTTATTAATATTACAACTGCTCTGGAAAAAGATAATTTATCGGGAAGGTGAAATTTTTGAGTTGTTCCTCAGACACAGCTCACAGCCTATTTTTTGCAACAAGAACACCTTTTTCCACCTATTCCTTAACTAGTTCTTCTGCTCTTCGGTATCAGAGTGACAGATCACTATCTAACTCTTAGGGTCATTATGAGGCTCAAATGAGGTAATATTTTAAAATGCTTAGCATAGTGCCTTGCACACAATAGGCATTTACTAAATGCTGTTATTATTATTAAGACAGAATGGATAGAGTTTGAGGCCTAAAGTCAGGAAAGACTTATTTTCCTGAGTTCAAATCCAGTCTCAGACACTCACTAGCTGTATGATCCTGGGCAAGTCACTTAATCCTATTTGCCTCAGTTTCCTCATCTGTAAAATGATCTGTAAAATAAAGAACAAATGGCAAATCACTTACTCTTTGCCAAGAAAATCTTCAAATTGGGTCATGAAACGTTGGACACCACTGAACAACAAAATTATTATTATTATTATTATTATTATTGTTTTTGGGAATGCCCTTTGAAGGCAAGGGCTATGTCATTTTGTTTTCTTATCTTAGCATCTAGTGTGGTGAGGGCTCCTGGTAAATGTGTATGCATGCAAAGGGGAGGATTTGTTACTTCTACTTTGTCCCTCCCAGCTTAGTTGATGTAATCACAAATGACTGGGTGTTAACATTTTTTTTTTTTTACAGTGTGAACATGTTTCTCTGATAGAATTCAGGGGACATGCCCCTGCAAAGGCTGGAGTCAGTCAACTGAAGGTCAGGTTCTAATAGTTTGGCAGTGAGACCATACTAGAAAGCAGCAATGGGAGGCTGGCAGGTACCCCTCCTCCCCCATCATGGTATCAGTACAGCCCCTTACCCATTAGGAGAGACCCCATTCAGTGCTTGGAGAGTCAGCTTCAGCCACAGCTGAGACGCATCCAGTCTGAAGCAGAGACATCCACTCTCCAAGCATACAGCGATCCAAAGAGGCCGTTACTTGCAGAGTGGGACCTCTGGCAGCAGAAAAGAGAGCAGCTGATTTTGGACTCAAGAGAGAACTAGCCCTGGCAACTGAGAGTCACTCCAGAAAAGAGCAGACCTTGGGAGGCTACCTGAGTAACTGGCCCAGCAGAGAGGCTGAGTTCAAGGTGGAGGTGCAGGGGTGGTGGTGGGGTGTCTTTATAAGCACTCTACAAGAAGAGAAAGCCCAGCAGTATTGCAGTTGTAAATTGCCTTTGTCACATGTCCACTACGTGTCCCTCACTACATTCACTCCCTATGATGTACTTAAAAGTTTGTGCCCATTCTTTCCACGGATAGTGTGTGTATTTGTGGGACATTTATGGGGTGACTATAGTTCCTATTTTTATTATTTGTGTTCACTGGGCTGAAGTTAATGGGAAGCATACTAGTAGTGGCTCAAGAGCTATAAATGGTGTAACCACTCTATAGGACCAGAATGCAAACTGGAGGAATTATCCTGAAGGCGGCGCTACATCCTTCTTCTTTAAGCACTTATTTATTATCAGTATTTAGCATTTCAAATATACAATACTATGTTTATATAATAGCTAGAGTTTATATATTACTTTAAGGGTTGCAAAAATGATTTGCAAACATTATTTCATTACCCTGGGAGGTAGATGCTATTATTCTCATTCCCGTTTTACAGGTAAGGAAATTGAAGCAGACAGAGGTTAAGTGACTTGCCCAGTGTCACACAGGTGGTAAACATCTGAGGCTGTATTCTGGACTCTGGTTAGCAGCAGCAACAACAGTTCAAGACTCCAGATTAAACCCCGCAGCATTAAGGAGCCTCTACAGCTTTTTCTGAGGGGGGGGGGCGGGACGAGAGCTCTAAGTACACGACTGCTTACGACGCTAGGTCACAGACTAAGACTTGTTAGAACTTTCGCGGGAACCTGGCTCCCCGGTAGCCCCGCCCACCCGAGTGAGCGATGGGCGGGCGCCCAAGCCCCGCCCTGTGATCGACATTGGAGCTCCGGATTTGGGGGAAGGCAGGCAAGGCAGGCGCATGGGCCCTCCCGAGCCTCCATTGGTTGACTGCCGCGGCCCAGAGAGGAAAGCCCACGTGGCAATTGGCTCAGCGGCCTGAGAGGGGGCGGGGCACGGCCGCGTTTTAAGGGCGGGTCAGGCTGCAGTGCGCCGGCGCGTCGCTGGGGACGCCGGACCGGGACTCCTAGTCGGGGGCACGAACTGTGTCGCCCCGCCCACGGGGCTCTTTGTCCAGTTAACTGTCAGCTGGTGGAGGGAGGGCTGCGGCCCGGGGGCGCCGGGGGCGGCGGAGACATGCCAGTGCGCTTCAAGGTGAGCTCCGGGGGGCCGGGGTCGGGGGACGTGGGCCTGCTGGGCCGGGGAGGGCGGGGAAGCCCCGCGTCCTAGGTGCCTCGGGCGCCGGCGCCCCATTTTACAGACGAGGAAACTGAGGCCCCGAGGCGGGAACGGACGTGTGTCCTCGATGATGCAGCCGGCCAGTGCCCGAGCCAGGAAAAGGCCCCGGTGGCCTGCCTGCCCAGGCCTCTGCTTCCCCTCCCCTGCATGCTCGGCCTTCTCCTCAGCAGGCCGAGTTTTCTCCCCAGCTTCTTCAGGAAGACACTTAAGAGTTACTGCGTGGAGCGCTATTATATTTTGGGGTGTGTGTGCGTGAGGGAGGGGTGGCATAGTGGAGGGAACACGTAATATATGCATGCGTGCTATATGTAACACATAATAATAATATGCATATATAATAAAAACAGGTCAATATGTGTGTATGCAGGGTGTCCCAAAAGTCTGAGTGCAGTTTTGGGCTCTAAAGCAAAAATTTAAGCTATGAAAGCTTAAAACTGCACTCTGACTTTTGGGACATCTTGTATAATAATAGTAATACTTAATAATAATAAATAATAATTTTGTTGCTGTTAAGTCATATCTGACTTTTTGTGACCCCATTTGGGGTTTTCTTGGCAAAGATACCAGAGTGGTTTGCCATTTCCTTCTCCAACTCATTTTACAGATGAAGAAATTGAGGCAAATAGGGTGAAGTGACTTGCCCAGGGTCACACAGCTAGTAAATGTCTGAGATCAGGTTTGAACTCCAGAAGGTGAGTCTTCCTGACTCCAGGCCCGGCACTCTGTGCACTCTGGTGCCACCTAGCTGCCCCAATAATAATAATAATAATAATAAAAATAATAATAATGATAATGATGATAGTTACCGTTTGTATAGTGCTATATGGTTTGCAAAGAGCTTTACATATCTCATTTAACACTAATAGTAATAACAGCTGTCAACATTTTTATAGCAATTACTATGTGCCAGATGCTGTGCTAATCGCTTTACAATTATCTCATTTGATTTTCATGACAACCCTGGAAGGTCCATCCTATTATTAGCCCCTTTTTACAGTTGGGGAAACTGAGGCACAGGAGAACTTAAGTGACTTTCCTAGGGTCCAACGGCTAGTAAGTATCTGAGGCAGGATTCAGGAAGACTGAGGTCTTCCTAACACCAAGTCGAGTGCTGTCTATGCACAGTGCCACCTGCCTATATTTGTGTCTCTACTCATACATACATGTGCATACACATTTCATATATACATATATGTATATAATATCCCCAAAGTGTAAGTACAGCCTTCTATACAATCACCTAGCTGTATTTGTATGTGTATGTATGTGACACACACACAGACAGGGTGTCCTAAAAGTCTTATTGTAATCTGCTGTGCATGATTCCACCTAGCTCTATTTGTGTGTATATTTTTACACAGTACACACATATGTATACATGTGTAGATACACAATATATAACAGATGTCTCAAAAGTCTTAATGTAGTCTATTATGCACTGTGCCTATATGTATATGTGTACATATGTGTGTGGATACATACATACACATGCACACATATACATTTAGGGTGTCTCCCAAATCTTAGTGCAATATTCTATGCACTGTGCTTCCTAGCTGCATTTGTATGTGTGTCTATGTCATATATAATGTATATAAAATGTGTGTGTTTCTACAGAAAGAATGTCCCAAAAGTATTGGTGCAGTATAGAGAATCATATTTTCTTATGCTTTTTAGAATTTGGGTAATGTGCTAGATTAGCTCTAGGGATCATTTGCCCTTTAAAACCCAACTCATGAAAAACAGGGTGTCTTCTTCTTCTGCTTAGGGAGGTGTGTCCTTATAGTTTCAAATCTTTGCCCTACTGCACCATATATCACATAGATCCTGTTATCCAGTGGACGCTTCAACAAGGATTGATTAATTAAATTCAACAAGAATAGTAAAGTTTCTACCATGTGCAAGGCACTGGAGAGTCAAAGATGAAAAAGGATACAGAGTGCCTACCCTAAAGGAGCTTACTTTCTGCTGAGGGATGTAAACAAGAAAGTAAAATGAAGATTAGCTGATGGGGGAGAGATCGATAATAAGTAGGGAACTCAAAAAAGACTTCTCATAGAAGAATATACCACCGCCATATCTTGAATTAGTAAAAATAGTCTCATAGTAATGATAACCTACCATGAAGGAATGCATTTAACTTCCTGTCACCCAGTTGTCAAAGGGAGATCTTTTGTATTTGATTACTAATTCTGAGATTTGAAATTTTTTTAAAGGTTCAAAAATATTACTTAATGGTGTTTGTTTACTGAGTCTCTGATTGTATCAATCCTATACATCTTTGCATTTTGCAGGGTCTGAGTGAATACCAGAGAAATTTTCTGTGGAAGAAATCACATCTCTCGGAGTTAAGTAATTCTCCAGAAAGTCAGAAAAGTCCATGGGCTGGACTTCGATCAGATCAAATAGGTAAGTTTTAGAAGTTGATGACTATTATAATTTGTGCAGATTTTTTCTTACTGGGCAAAATCATATGTCATCTTGGCTTTGCATTTTATAAATCGTTAGGTCTTCCCAAAATTCTTATGGTTGTCCTCGTTGACATACGTGAATTTGATGTAGTTGATGTTAACTTAAATGACCTTAACTTATAAACATCAGAATACTCTGCTGCATATAGAAGCACGTGAATATCTGCAAAGCAGTAGCAAATGGCAGATTTTTACTTGTATTGCAGCCAGTGTTTTGTGTAATTTTTGCAAGTTGCTGTCAGATGACATTGTTACATGAGCAACTGTGAAGTTGAGGCTTTAGAGAACAGAGGTGAGCCAGGGGTTAGATGGAAAGGTCTGCTGTGCTCATCCTCCAACTCCTCAGACCTCTCATCTGCTCCTGAGGGGCAGCTCTTTTCCTATGTTTCACCCCTTCCCTAAATCAGATAAGACCTTCCCATGTTGGGAGAGGGACAGGAATGGGAGGTGGTTTTCCTGTTTGGAAGCCTGGGAAAACATGCTTTAGGCTGTGTCTTATTGGATGACCTTGGTCCCAGGGTAACAGAACAGGAGCTGGGGAAATGGAGAGCTTTAACAGATTAAATCAGAGGGGATTTCTGAGATCATCTCGGGGAAGGGGAGAATAGAACCCATATCACTAACCAGGGGCAGTTGGGCTTCTATACTTCTGGCAGTGTTGAGAATGGATTGCTTGCTCAAAAATAGGTTCTGGATGCTGTCTTGTCTTTGTTATACTTAAATGCTTGAAAGGCTGTGTGATTTTTTTTTTTGGTACTGAATGCAAAGGGCAACTCCTCCATGCCTTGATAGATGGTCCAAGTTGCTATAGCCAGCCTATTTGAATTTAGATTGGTTCTCTCAATTATGAGAAACACAGTTCTTTTCAGTGCCAGAGCTTAGAGTTTTTTCATCTTGGTAGGACCTGCTCGAGCTTGTTCTACTGGCAGACTTTCAAGATGTCAGGTCACGTGTATGCCGTGGTGAGACATCAGTGTATGACTTTGATAGGTGTTACTTAGACTGCATGAAATTCTACCAGTTGGAGTCTTTGGTAAATTATCAAGCCCAAATAAATGTCCTAAAAATGCAGGCTTTGGTTGGGGTGACAAGGGGAAACTCTATTTGGTCATCTTTACCTTTGGGTTGAATTAGTTTGGTCAGATTTCCTTCTTAAACTGAGATGACCTCAATTAGATTTTAGGTGGAAGGGTAAGGGTGGGGGGAAACAAGTAGAGCAGAGTGTAGAGAAGGGACAGATAATTTGGGATTATGGTGATGTTGGGGGAGGCACAACAAGCCTAGATGGGATATTATAATGAAAGGGAGCTTGGACAGTGTGAGAACCTTACAGGCCTGGAATGCTTAAGGATCTTAGAAATTTGGAAAAAGGGAGGTAGGAAAATGCCAAATAAAAATTCCAAGAACTTTTTGTGGGGCTCTCTGTCCTTGCCTTTTCCTTTTCTGCCAGCTCCCTTTTTAATCTCTATTCCCAGAGGCATTAGGAGGTAAGAGCAAACCTTCTTTCTTTGTATGTTGCCTGATGATACTTGGAAAAGCGCCCTTCATGTTCCTTAAGTGCCATAGGGAGCTGCCCCAACTCAGAAACACCAGAACGCTGAAGTGTCTTTACTGATTGTAGAATTTACAGCTGGGAGACACCTTAGGAATCATGTAGTCTACATTCTTCCTTTTATAGGTGAAGAAACGAAAACTGGCTTTGTGATTTACAGAAACCACTGACATGCCCCAGGTGATGTTGGTGGTAAAGAACAGAGCCACCATTCCCATGGGAGCCCTCTGTCTCTAGACCCAGCATTCTGAGTGGGTACAGAGACACTTTGGGCCTTGCATCATATTTTATGTGGTTACTTAGAGGGAGTAACAGATAGTACCCAGACCAACTCACTGACTTTCTCTCCACCATCATGTTTCTGCCCACTTTTCTTTCACTTCTTGATTACTTGAAAACAGAGAATTTGGAATTAAATTCTGTATGTTCTTGTGCAAATCACTTAATCTCTATGCCAGTTTCCCCAACTATAAAATGAAGGGGTTGGATCAGACTTGTGCAGCCTTTAGGGGCCCTTCAAGCTCTAGATTTATGGTCTCTGAACTTTTCCACTTTTCAGTAAAGTAATCTTTACAGCTAAAGAGCTTCCCCCTAATTTGGACAATTTTGGTTTGTTTTGTGACTAAGGTTCCCAATCTGTAAATTCTGTTTGTTTAAAAAAAAAAGTTTGCTCTATTAAAATAGATTCATCAGACAGAATTCACTGCAGTGGTATCAGCTGTTCAAGGAGATTGCAGAATCTCTTCTTGTCTTGGAATATTTACTTTTCTCTGACTAATCTGCATAAGAAAGCCTTTTGAAAAGGTTCAAATTTGAACAGCACCAAAGCCGATTGTTTTTATTAAGTAGCCAGGAAAAAACAATTAGAAACTGTGGCAATATGTCCTTTTTGACTTGCCAAGTGTATGATGTCGTGACCTTGGTGCCTGTCACAACTGACTGGAACAGCATGACCCTAAATTTGTTTTCTTTTTTCTGAGAAGACTTCCAGGACTTACATTTCTTAGGCTAGGTTTTATTTTGAAAAATCCTTATTTAGTTTGCGTTAAGACTTTAAAATTCAAGTAAGCATTTTTACTTGAATTTCTCCTCCTTTCCTTATACAAATTTGTGTCTTTATAACATTAGAACCATCATTATGACATTGGAACCACTAAGTACTCTTTTTATTAACTCTGTTTTACAGGAATCACGAAGGAACCAAGTTTTATCTCAAAGAAAAGAGTTCCTTATTATGACCCAGAAATTCCCAAATACCTTGAGTGGAAGGCAGAAGATGCCTCTGAGAACGAGTTGGTTGTATTACCAGAACCTGAAGTCCCAGAGGTGCCAAAACTGCAGGAAACAAAAGAAAAAGATGACCTGAATGAAGAAAGAATTTTAACCACTGAGGTCTCTCGAGTGCCCAAGAGGGTTCGGTCTCATTCTGCTGACTCTCGAGTTGCAGAAGCCATTGACCCTGTGGATAATAACAAAGAAGCAATTTCAGATCCCACACCAGCACATAGGAATGCAGAACCACAAAAGCCTTCCCAAGGTCTTTCAGAAAATGTCCATAACCAGGTAAGAATTTTCACTTAGTTTTCTGAAAGGTAAAGAAAAAAATCTCAGCTTCAAAGTAGCTCTAGCAGTACTGGCATACATACCTAAAACTTTTTTGTGTGTTGTGCTGGGCTTCAGCTTAGTTAGGGATCATTTCTAAACCTTGACTCTTGATTATCCACATAAACTTGGGAATCAGTGTCAGTGATACAAAACAGTGGAGGATTTGCCTCCGGATTTTATTCACTGCATATCAGTATCTGAATCCTGAGAGAGAGATCAGATGGAGACAGAAGGGAAGTAGGAGCCTCCCTCCACAGGTGGTGAATTCAGATACTATGGTCTGTCCTTTAAGGGTTGACCTCTCAATAGCCCCCTTTCAGTTTCTTATCATGGACCAACAGGAAAGCAAACAGAGTCTTGATTGACAAAAAACCCTAAGAGGAAGGAGGAGAGGACTGGCTGGATCTCCCAAGTATCATTGCCAGCCTTGCTCTCTCATGCCAAGGCTGGGTTGTTGTCACGCACATAAGGGGTTTGTAGCAGCGCTTGTAGGGATAGCACTATCTCCTGGGTTCCTTTGCCTGTTCGAGCGCTCCTTCCCAGTTTCATGTCTGCAGCTGATTGGGACAATAGAAGAGCACTAAATAGTGTTAGAGAAGAGCCCGTGGCCCCTCAGAGAAAGCAGACAAGGAGAGGGGATTCAAGAAAGGTGATGGGGAAGCTCGGTGGGTAAGGGGCAGTGTCCATGGTAGTGACTGAGTACATAATGATAGCAACTAGATGGCCTTCGGATAGGAGAGTCAATCCTAACTAAAATACTAGCATGATATTAAAATGTCATTATTAAGTGTATTGTAACTATTTGATTTGAAAAATCTTAATAGCTTTAAGGAGGGAAATCAAGATTTGGTTTAAATGGCAATTGTATGAATGATGGAAAGTTAAAAAAACTTGGATAAAACAATGAATTTTTTTTTTAAGCAGTTGGACAGGATTCTACGAAGGAAAGCAGGATTGCCTGTTACTCCCATATATCATTCCCTCAGAAATTCTGAATACCAAAGACAATTTGTATGGAAGACCCCGAAGGAGAACTCCCCAGTTCTTGCAGCCAATCAGGTAGCTTGAAGGATGGGTTGACAGTATTCGGTAACTTTTTACAATGTAGGGATGCATGTTAACATGGGACCAAGATCCTAAAAAAACTCAACTGAAGTATAAAAGAAGTAGAGTCTAGGAAAGTGAAACTTTTGCTTAAAAGTTGCTTTAAATTGCCTGGTTGGGTTCTTTGTTATTACTTTAAATTTCTCCAGCGACTTAATTTCCTTTTTCTTCTTTTTTTGTAAGTATACTTAGACCTCATATTAATTTATTTCCTGCATACTTTTGTACCTTCAGAACCTCCAAGAATTAGAAGTGGAATGGAATGCTGTTAGTTGTACCTAGAGCAGTGATCTTGTCAGTTGCAACTACTGTGGAGTTACTAGTATTTGTTATTTTAGTCATAACTGTTCAGTGCAAAAAATTTAACTTACATAGAGCTTTCCATAAGTGATAACAGATAACACCTTTGCTTTTTAAAAACCTACTCACAGAAGTCCTAATAGATTAAATCTTCTGACAAGATTAGAAATCTTACTTGAAACTTAGAAAATAAAAACTTAGCATCTCTCCAGTTTCTTAGATTTTTTCAGGTAAATTATTTGGGTTCCTTAAACCAGAGATGAACTTGTCATAAATCTGGTGACTACTTCAGTAGGATTATGTGCAGATGAAAGAATTGGGTTAAGTCAATGTTGTTTCCTTAGAATGAACAAAATGAATCATTACCATTGTCTTGGGTATTAATTTCATCCCTGTCATTAGAGAAGGGTCTGAAGGAGTTTTTTGGAGTCAAATTTGGTATTTCATTTGAAGCCATATCAGTTTCTGAAATCTGTGTATGTATTGGAGAGCTGTGTGAAAGAAGCTGATATTGAGTTTGTAAATAAATTTTATTATGCCAAAAGCCTGTTTCTGAAAAGATGCCATATACAAGTTTGTAAGTTAACTGTGACGCCTTTAGTTAAGAAATCCCTGGGGTTATAAAATACCAGATCACTACAGTGTATACTTAGATTCAGACTTTGTCAAGAAATAATGTTTTGGAAGTACAAATAAATGGCAGAAACTCCCAATTTTATACATTGAACTTCATACCTCTTGTGCTTGTTTTTTCATATTAGAAACTTAAACTGTATAGTAAAAATGCAAGTCAGACTCTGATATTTGCAAAAAGGGTATTAGAGGCAAAGGACAGAAATATGAAAAAAAAGTTTTTTCTTGCCTAATATAAGTTGTTTTAGTTTAAGATAACAATTAAACAAATTATAAGAGATGTTTAAGCTTTCAAATACAAGTATTTTTTCCTTATTGATTGTAGTGAGCAAATTATGATTTAAATAAATAACTGCTGCAGTGTTTAAAATACTATTGCAGGAAATGGAAAAAAAAACACCTAAGAGAATGAATAAATAAAAGTGCAAATGAATCAATTTTTTTTTTTAAGAGAGAGAATGTTATGGTGGGAAGAACTCTGAAATCTAGGAGTCCAGCATTCAGGTTCTAGTCTGAATTCTGTCATTAAATTCAGACTCAGAATATGAGAGCTAGAAGGGCCTGAAAAGTTCACCTCTCTGGGCCTCAGTTTTTTCTTATTTGAAATGAAGGGACTTAATTGAATGGCTTGTCCAGAGGCTATGTAAAGTGGTCCCGTCACTTTAACTCAGGGGACCTCAATTTCTTTTGTCTTCCAAAGGTCCTTTCCAGTTTTAAGCTATCAGGATTGCATGACCTTGTAGCAACAATCTTTGAAGTAGTTGGTATTCATCACAGCTCCTTTTCATTAGCTGGATTGACCCTATGTCAGATGATGAATAGATTGTGTTTGGTTGGCATTTCTGTTTCCTGTCTAATACTTTGTTTCTTTTACTCTTGTCTTCAGGAGTTAGCACACTGTAGTTCAGTTTAACAGACATTTGTTAAGATTCCAATATTTGTTAGGCTCTGTCCTCTGTATTGGGGATAAAAAGGCAAAATACTTGGGGATAAGCTGGATTCATTCACCTAAGTACAAGTACAGATACAGATCAGGGAAGGTTTTGTGGAGGTCCTTGGCACCTCAGTTGGGCTGTTGCATGTGACAGCTTGTGAAGAGGAAGGAGCTAGGGTGAGAGAGGTAATATTGAGCTCCAGGGAACAGTTTGTAGACCAATTTGCCTTGAAGGTAGAGTGTAAGAAGGGGAGGTGGTGAGAGTGAGCTGGGGAGGAGGCAGCATAAAAAAAAAAACAAAGCCTGGAAGAGTAGATTGGAGTCAGATTGTCAAGCACTTTAAATACCAGCTAGCGTTTGTGTTATTCCAGAGTCAGTAGGGAGCCACTGAAGACTTTTGAGCACAGGAATGACGTGGTTAGATTTATTTTGGCAGCTCCATAGAGGATGGCTTGAAAGGAGAGACTAGAAACTGAGGGACCAGTTGGGAGGTTCTTGTAATATTCCAGGCCTGAGGTGATGAGGTCCTAGATTAGGGGGCTGGCAGGTGAGTAGAAAGAAGGGATTGGAGGTGAAAGATGTAGAAACACAATCATAAGACTTGGCAAGTGATTGGATATAGGGGGTAGGAGAGGGGAAATCAAGATGGCTCCAAAAGTGATTGGGTGATAAATAGGGTGGGGGTATCCTTAAGAGAAGTAGAGAAGTTAGGAGGAAGGTCAGTTTTGGGAAAATCAGTCACTCAGTGTGTACTTAGTAAGCACCCACTCTGTGTCAGGTACTGTGCTAGTTGCTATTTGAAACAGAGACAGAATTGAGAGTCCCTGCCTTTGGGGGTTTATATTCTACTGAGGAGATAGACAAAACATGATTGTTTGTTGTTGAGTGATTTCAGTCACATCTGACTCTTTGTGACCCCTTTTGGGATTTTCTTGACAAAGACCCTGGAGGGGTTTGCCATTTCCTTCTCCAGCTCATTTTACAGATGAGGCCACTGAGGCAAACAGGGTGAGATGACTTGCCCAGGGTCAGACAGCTCATAAGTATCCAAGGCCAGATTTGAACTCAGTTTTCTTGACTCCAGGCCCAGTGTTCTTTTCCCTGGGCCACCTAGCTGCCCTGATTTTGTTGTTGTTCAGTCGTGTCCAACTCTTTGTGACCTCATTTTGGGGTTTTCTTGGCAAAGATAATGGAGTAGTTTGTCATTTCCTTCTCCAGCTCATTTTACAGATGAGGAAGTGAGGCAAACCAGGGTTAAGTGACTTGCCCAGGATTACATTGCTAGTATATGAGGCCATATTTGAATGCAGGTCTTTCTGACTCTAGGCCTAGCTAGATCCACTGTGCCACCCAGCTGCCCATTAAAACATGATTATACATGAGTAAATGCAGGATGTGTGTGTGTGCGAGTGTAGATAATTTCTGGTAGGGCACTAACAACTGGGGAAAGCTTCTCAAAGGAGGTGGCTGTCACTCTGTACCTTGAAGGGATCCAGGAGTTCCAAGATGGGGAGGGAGAGCATTTCAAGCATGAAGGTAGCATAGGCCAAGGCATAGATATAGGAGATCAGTTGTCTCCAGAGAACAGTAAGCAGGCTGGTTTATGGAGTGTAGAATGAATGAGGGGATGATGGACAGTTCAGGCAGAATGGGGCCAGATTATGAAGGGTTTTCAATGCCAAAATGAGGAGTCTGCATTTTGTCCTAGGAAGTCATGCCTGTGCTTCGGAAATATCACTTTGGCAGCCATGTGGAGGGTGGAGTGAAGAGAGGGGTGAGGGGATGGGGCTGTGGGGATGGTGGGAGTGGAACCAGTTAGGAGCCTACTACAGTGATTCAGGAAAGCGATGAGTAGGGTCCATGCTTGGGTAGTGGTGGTGTGAGAGAAGGTGGTGGTGGTGAGAGAAGGGGGTGAATTTGGGAGCTATTGAGGAGGGAGAACTGACAAACCATAGCTGTGAGGGGGTGGGGGCTAAGGGAGAGTGAAAGGGAGAGCTGAGAATGACTCCTAAGTTGGGAACCTTGATGAAAAGATATAATGAGTTCCAATTTGGATGTATTGGGTTTGAGATGCCAACAGCACATTAAGTCTAGGTAGAGTTGTCCAAAATCAATCAATGATAAGGATTTATTAAGTACCCATTATATGCCAAAAGGCAGTTTTTGATAAGGCTCCAAGAGATTAGGGCTGAATTTGTTCATTTGGTAGTCATTTACATAAAGATAATTGAAACCACAGAGAGAATGAAGTGGGGAAGGCCCAGGATAGAAATTTGGGATATAAGCTGAAAAAGTGGGAGATGAATGATGATTCAGCAAAGGAGGCTAAGAAATTATAGACAGGTAGGATAAATAGGAAAGAGTAGTGTCATGGAAACCAAAGAGTCTGTTAAGAGGAAAGGGTTTTGAACATGTCAAAAGCTGCAGAAAGGTAAAAAAAGGATGAGAAATGAGAAAAGACCAAAAGAGGTACTGGTAACCTTGGAGACACAGGTTTCAGTAGAGTGGTGCTGTAAGAAGCCAATTTGTAAGAGGCTGAGAAGTAAGTAGGAAGGGGGACAGGAGAAGTAGATTGGGGGTGAGGTGGGAGTATAGATGATCTGTTTTAGAAACTGGCTTGAAAAAAGTCTTTGGATTTTGCAGTTAAGAGATTGTTGGTAACCTTGGACAGAGTTAGGAAAACCCCCTTTCACCCCTTCGTCATTTTGGGAAGAAAAAACAAACAAATATATATTTTTATCTTTCAACATTATGTTGATATGCTGACAGCCCTTAATAGTAACTATAATTTAAAGTATTAGTCTGAGAACAGAAGAGACCAGATGTATTAACACATGCTGATCTTTGGATATTAGCTTCTTGGCATGTGAATGGAAGTATAATGGACAACAAATACAGTTTTGTGCGTGGTAACTTAATCGTTTATCAGTTTGGTGTAGTGAAAAGTATGTTAGATTCTGAGTCAGAAGACCTGGGTTTAGTTCCTGGCTCAGCCATTAACTAGTTGGATAACCTTCGACAAGTTATATTGCTTTTCTGGTCTTCACTTTTCTCATGTTAAAAATTAAAAGGGTTGGATGAATTATCTTTATGTTTCCTTCTACCCATAACATTCTGTTGTATTTTATTGTCTGTTCTTAGAGATCTAATTTTTGCGTGATTGACCCTTGAAAATAGGAAAAATAACTTTGTTGTTCTTATTTTAAGGTTTTTTTAAATAAAAATAAATCTGTTCCACCGTTCAAAGTTGATGTAACTATCCCTGAAACAGAATACAAGAGGAATTTCAAAGGTTTGTCTCCAAACAAAGAAAGAAGATATAAGCATGATTTGAAAGAGAATGAAAATCCTGAAATTGACTCACCTGAGAAGGTATTATCATTTCTTATCTTTTTTAACTACCATTTTCTGTATCTTATTCTTTATTGGATATATGATGGTTTAGTCTACTTGAAAAATAACATATCATGGCTTTCTAGGAGCCATGAGTACAGTCAGAATGTAAATTAAAAAAAAAACAAAACCAAAACCAAAACCAAAAACCATGGTCACAGCAATTGCCGTTCTATTCTTTTGAGAAAAGGTACAGCAGACAAGATCTCATTTAATGTAATGCATATGGGTTGCCTCAGTATACATGTCATGTTTTTTCTTTGGAATATCAGCAATATTAATTGCACCTTAGAGAAGTTTCTCTTCTTTGTACTAAATTCATAATCGGTGAAAATTAAAGTGCTCTAAACTCAAAAAGATAACAGCATTTTATAAATTTCTTAAATGCCAGTAGTACTTGAATATGAGCAAAGCTTGACCTTAAATGAATTGCTTAACTACTTTGAGCTTCAGTTAACACAGTGATAAAATAAAGTGGTTGAGCTGATGACCTCATTGTCACTTCTAGCATGACGATCCTGTAGTTTTTCAAGGACCTTCTTGTCATGATAAGAAGTAATGAGGTTGCCATCCGAAAGACAGTGTTTTTAAGGATAAACAGTACACACCAATGTATAAAATCAAGGGTTCTCAGCAGTTGGCTACAATCTAGAGAATGAGCCTGTACTGGGAGTTTTAGATTGAAAACTACCCAAAAGTAGGGACTGTGTTGTTGATTCATATTTATATCACCAGTGCTTAACAGTGCCTGGCATATAGTAAGTGCTTAATAAATGCTTTATCTGTCTGACTTTATCTATGTCCTCAGAAAAATGTTACTCTAACCCCGAAAGAGTAATATGTTGAGCATCATATTGAGATCTTTGGAAAAAAAAATAAAAACATTATTTTACCCTTAGAAAAGCATGATATGTCTCTACCTGATATACTGTGTATATTGTAACTCTGGTCATCTTCAGAAAGATATAATAGAAATAGAAAATATTCAAGGAGAAACAGGTAAACTCACCATCATTATTAATCATTATTTTGATGGATCTGACCATGCTACTCCTTTGAATTAGAAAAATGTTGCTATTTAAGAACAGATTGGGACTCATAACCACAGAATTATGGTTGGAAGGAATGCTAAAATTCATCCTGTCCAATCTTCATTGCTTTATGTGGCTGATGGAACTGGAACCCAGAAACTCCCGTGTAAAAGCTAAGGGCTCTCAGGCTCGCAGGGGTGGGTGTTGGAATGTAGAATTCAGGAATGGGTGCTGTTATGTGAATGTGACTTGCTTTCCATGTCCCGAGTTACTAGAATGGTGGCAAGGCACCTTTTAAAACTTGAATGAGGTAAATTTGTGGCAATTAAAGGAAATACCGACATCGTAGGGTTTATAAGCCCATAGACCTCATTGTCCCAAGAAGTGGTCTAGTGCTTTGTCCTTGTCCCAGGAGCAAACTTCACCCTTTCCTACGTCTGTACTTTGCTTTTGCCTTTCTCTCTGCTGGGAATGCCACCCGTCTCATCTCTTTTCTAATTACTGCCTGTCCTCAAGGCCTAGCTCAAATAATAGGTCATAGGATTTAGGTCTGTTAATGAACTCAGATTACCTGGTCCAAACCCTCTCATTTCACAGATCAGGAAACCAAATAGTTGAAATGACTTGTCCTAGATTGTTTCTCCTTATAAGGCCTTTTTGACCCATCCCATCCTGAAGTGCTTTTTCCTTACTTTGAGCTCTTATCATACTTATTATTGGTACCATTTGGGAATTAATTAGCCGTCATAGGTTTTGTATTTTTATCTCAAGATGTTATTGAAATGGCTGTTATTTTACAGTAGCCATTTATTAATTTTAATGATTGAAATTATATATTTCAATAACCATTTATTAATATTATTAGTAATAACAAATTGAGATAATGATTTAATTTAATGATTCCCTTACAGCTATAAGGGAACAAGTAGAATTTTCATTTTATAGATGAGAAACTGAGGATCCAAAAAATTAAGTGATTTACCTGTGTTCACACAACTAGTAAATAAACACTCCATCTCTGCTTGCTGAAATCGTTCTTTATTTCCTTTCCATGCTGGGTTCGGTGGTGTCACAGCCCATTGCCCTGAAGCATTATGCAAGGCGAAGTGGAGGAGATACAAAGAGCACCTCTTCCCTTACCTCCTAGAATTTAGTCTGACTGAGATTGGGTGGGGATACAGTCTCTTAAACTTCAGTGAACCTGCGATCTCATCGTTGCTGTTATTCCTTTGAAAAGGCATATCAGGATGGGCAAAACTGTGGCCCTCTAGGTCCTCAAGCGTGGCCCTTTGACTGAATCCAAACTTGATAGAACAAATCCTCTTACTAAAAGGATTTATTCTGTAAAACTTGGACTCAATCAAAAGGCTGTACCCAAGGACCTAGAAGGCCACATGTGGCCTCCAGGCCACAGCTACCCCACCCCAGTATAGATCAGTTCTCATCCATGCCTTCTCCTCATTTGTGATTCATCTCTGTGTCCTCCCATAAATCCTCCTCAGTGTTCTGCAAGCAGCCTTCTAGGTCTTTCACAATTATTTGTGTACCAGTGTAGCACTAAGGCCATTGAGTGATCTGTTATCCCTCATAACTAGCCCCTCTCCTTTTCTAATTATCCATTTCTCGCGTTCCAGTGTTATTGGGAATATTCTCTGGTTCAACACATGTCTCTCTATTATCATTTGGGTCACCAGCAGTTTGAGTCTTAATCCTCATGGGCTTATAACAAGTACATACTAAAAAAAATGTAATATAATAAGACAAGTAAAAGTGCTCTATAAGGTTGAAGGAAGGGAAGGTAATAGGGGAATCGGAAAGCTTCATGGAGCGTATTATGTTTGAACTGAATTTCAAACTTGGGGAAGGGCAGAGCCATTCTAGGCTGAGGGAGTAGACGTGGCCAAAGGCAGGGTATCTGTGTCCTGTTCTGGCCTTGTCACTTCACATCCCCATACCTTTGCAAAGGTTGTCCTTTGCCATATCCTATGCAATATCCTAAATTCCTATGCCCAGAATGCGTCCCTTCTTTACTTCCATCTCTTAGTCCCTAGCTTCCTTTAAGTCTCAGCTCAGGGACCATCTTCTATGTGAAGAAGCTTTCTTGATTCTTTTCCCCAATCCCCTGACTGACATTTTTGGTGCTTTCTTCCTCCACAAATTTTCCCTATCTTATATTCACTTGTCTGTGTTCTCTAAAGGCCCTAAGTTGTGGTGCAGGTGCTGACTTGTATTGGTAGAGGGAACTTCCTCACTGGGAGTTCCCTCAAGCAGTGAACTCACTGGTTTGTTCCCTGAGATCCCTAAATCCTCATCTGTGCACTAGCTATATCCCCTTAAAATCATTCAGGTAATAAGCATTTATTATGTGCACACCAAGAGCTGTGGTAGGTGATGGGATAACAGAGGCAAAAATGACACAATTCCTGCCTTTTAGGAGCTTACATTCTTTCAGAGGAGACTCTTAGGAATGTAAGTCAATACAAGGTAATTTCTGGGAGGCCCAGGGGTGGGGGAAGGCTCTAGGCTCCAGTTGCTTAGAGGATCAGGAAAGGCCTCCCTCATAAGGAGATTGTATGGGGGCTGAGCTTTCCTGGGCAAAGGCACAGTGAGGACAAGGAGCAACGAGAAAGCCAATGAGTGAACGAAAGGGAATATCATTTACTAAGCTTGGAAAGGCAGCATGGAACCAGCGTGGGAACACAGGCTCCTTGAGGGAAGGGACCTTTTTGGTTTGTCTCTGTATCCCCAGAACATAATAGTGCTTTGCACGTATTTAACAAATATCTGTTGAATTGAAAGTTGAGGATAGATATTATAGATAGAGAGTACTCCAGTTTGGCTGGTTTGTAGGGTATGTAGAAAAGCACAGTTTCCTTCAGTGCCGAGCAGTAGACTTTGGACTCCCTTTGACTGGCATTAAGAACCACTGAAGCAGAAGAATGATATGCTTAGATCCTTGCCTGAAGAGTCCTTCAGTAGTTTGTGAATGTGTTAGGTGGTAAAGAGTGATTAGGCAGCTAATGCAGTAGTCCAAGTGGGAAGTAACAAGGGCCAATACTAGACTAGCTTGGGTCATAGAAAGGAGAAAATAGTCATGAAATGTTGTCCCATGGTCACAAGAACTTGATAATTGTTTGGGTATGAGAGGAGGAAGAAGTCAAAGAACTTTGAGGTTGGGCAGGTATGTGGTACTTTTGATAGAAAAAAAAAAGAGAGAAGTCTGTAGCAGTTGGTTTTGAAGGAAAGAGGATGAGTTTGGCTTCCTAATGTTTACTTCCCTTTCATTTCAAACACTTCTTAAGGGCCTGCTAAATGTAAGGCACCTCTCTAGGGAATATAAACACAAAAAGCTCCTAATCCCCTTTCTCTGGGAGCCAACATTTTCCTGGGGGATTAGAAGGTAAGGATAAGGAGATAAAAGGTAACTTGAGACGGAAGATTGCACTGATGCCTGGGGGAGGCAAGGAAAGGATTTTAGTGGGAGATGGCATCTTAGCTGAGGCTTGAGGAGGTAATGATTGTAAGAGGGAGGAAACAGGAGGAAATTTCAAGCATTGATGATGCCTTGCAAAGGCAGAAACTGGAGATGGAATACCAAATCTGGGCAGTAGCAGCAGCTAGTAGGCCATTTTATCTGGCACATAGGGTTTATGATAGGAAGTAATATGAAAAAAGTCTGGAAAGGTGATTGGGTACCTAACGCTGAGGGTTTTAAATGCCAGATCTGTGCCCAAGATGCTTCTGGTACATATAGATGAGGATATCCTATAGGGAGTTGGAAATGTGGTCAGCACCCAGGAGAGTAGTTAGAGCTGGAAGGATATTTGGGAGATTTATGTCTTGTTTTACCAATTGGTTGGTAAGACATCTAAACAAATAACATGTTATAGGATCATCGATCTTGTTATTGTTTGTCTTGCGTTCTCAAAGAGGACTGTGACATCAGGAAGGTGATGCCATGACTTGCAAGCGAATTGAATTTAAGTGAGGGAGGGCTATACAAAGTCATCAGCCTCACTTTCTCTTCCAGAGCCATCTGTGTCCAGTGGCCAGATACGGATCAGAATAATGAGTTGGCCCCACAGCTGTAGAGTAGGAAAGGACCTTTAAAGCCATCTAGTCCGACCTTAATTTTACAGATGAGGAAACTGAATCCTGGGGAGGTTTCGTGACTTGTCCGAGTTCACACAAGTAATAAACCTCAGGGTTGGGATTTAAATTCACATCATCTGATTCTGGGGCAGGTCGGTGGTGCAGTGGATAGAGTGCCAGACTAACCTTGCTGAGTTCAAAAATGGCCTTAGACACTTACTAGTTGTATGACCCTGGGCCAGTCACTTAACCCTGTTCAACTCAGTTTCTCATCTATAAAATGAGCTGGAGAAGGAAATGACAAACCACTCCAGCATCTCCGCCAAGAAAACCTCAAATGGAGACACTAAGACTCGCATGTGACTGAAATGACTGAAGAACCATATCTCACTTCAGAGCCAGTGATATTTCCACTCTACCCGTCTGCCTTTATTCCTCATAGTACCTTACACGTAGTTGCTGCTTAGCAAATATTTGTTACACTTATTTTTAATATCTTTGTGCGTTATCTAGCACATGGTCTGTTTTTGTAAAAGTACCACGTGGTATTAAAAACTATGTGCTTTCTTTAATATATATGTATTTAATGTAACATGACATTAAATGTAATTTGATAAATTTAAATCTAAATATATTATAGTTTTTGTTCATGTTTTTAGGGAGTCCAAGGATTTTTAAGTTCTTTCTCTTATACTCGTTTTCAGTTATTTGTTTTTGATAGTAGATATATTGTTTAGCTGCTCTTATAATTCTTGTAGTCAGGCCTTTTTTTTTTTCCCTCTGAGATTCTGTTTGTAGTTGATGTGGTGTTAATCTCTTCTTCTGGGTTTATCTTTTAGGCCTCTCTTAACCCATAGTATTTTAGTCTTTTCTTCTGTTTACTCATATTTTCAAACTCAGTTCGTGGATTGTGGTCTTGTACTTATGCCAGTCCCCTCTGGCACTATTGTATGGGTTAGGTAGGACTTCCTTGGTCCTGTTTCCTCTGTCATCTGGATGCTGCCATGCCTTAAAACGTTTTTCTTTACTTTATTCTCAAGTCATTATTTTCCCTACCATTCCATCCTGAAATTTTATTCTGTAATTTTTATACTCTTTATTTCTTCCTTAACTTCTTTGTGTACTCCTTGGGATAAAAGCTTCTGAAGTACCAGATTTGAGTTCCCTCTTCTGATAAGTTTCTTTGTTATTGCTTTTATGGATTTTGTTCTGTCATCCCACTTTTCTGCTGTGCTTCATTCTTATAGATATAATTCATGAGAGAAGTTTGAGAGACTCAGTGATGTATGGTAGAAATTACCAACATGTTCTAAATCCTGCACCAGCCCCTACCTCACGGAATCTTGTCTCTGAGTCTGTGTCTCATCATTCAATAAATATATATTTGATTTTTTGGGGGGGGGGGGATCTAGACCTGTAAATTGATTGGCATAGGGAACTTCCAGTGAGGTAGTTCCTACCAGTACAAATGCTCTTTTATTGTGTACTTTTTAGTCTTACAGAGTTATCTGGGGGCACTGACACATATCCAGTATGTGTCAGAGACAGCACTTAAATTCAGATCTGTCTTTGAGGCCAGTTCTGTATTTACCTTGATAGGCTTCCTTGAAATCAGACTTAATGATGAGGTATACAAATATATTAAAAGAAGCTGGAGTCAAGTTTATGAATATGAGGGCATATTAAAAGAAGCTGAAATATGTTTAACCCTTAAAGTTTCCCTGGGTACTTCCAGGGCACTGGTCCTTGACATCAGACAGGAGAAGCAAAGGCTGTGTTGGTAGCTGCAAAGTGGCTTAGGAAGGAAACTTTGGGGGAGGGTCGAGAAGCAGAGGTGATCAGTCAACTGGTATTCTTGGAGAGAGGCGCAGACATTCTCATAAAAGCCACACCTTCCCTAAGACAGAGCTGACAAATTGTCCTGGTGTTGTGTTTTTGTGACTACTTTTCCCCTTTAAAAATGTCCTTTTGGGAACTAGGAATTTAGATTGATGAGCACAATGTCTGATTTTTGCTGCTGGTCAAATCACTTGAAGCTAACCCTGGATACCACATCTTACGGGAATGGCCTGAAATATTGGTGTTAGGTAAGGTGTGTGTGCTGTCCTCTAAACTCTGCCTTGAGACTTCTGTTATTTATGGAGTACTGGGTTAGAGTAATGAGAAGTCTGACGTAGTTTAATAATTCTTAAGTGTAAATGTTATGGTGGGTCAGTCACATTTTTTGTGGCTCATATATATACATATACACATATAGATAGTCTTTTCCACAAAAGATAACTGAAATGAAATTAAAGCAACTTGTTAATCGTACTTTAAATTATTATTACCATTTTTATTCATAGGGAAGGTTTGCCATTAATACTTGGTGAGAAGGGAACAGATATATTATTTGTTTCTTTTTCAGAGTAACAAGGGAGTAGTAACATTTACTGAAGTGAACTATATCTCTTGTTTTTCCTTTCACTTCTTTCCTAATTGCTTTGCATCTAGAATATAGTGCTACGAAATGCTCATACAAATATTAAGAATACCAGGGTGAAAACAGTAGCATTGTTAAGATAGGTAACAGCGTTGAATTGCAGAGTAGTAGGTTTTTAGGTGTTCTTTAAAAAACAAACAAACTCAAAAAACTCTGTTCAGAATCTTTGCTGTGTCATAAATTATGCTCTACCTGGAGCTACACTTTGGAAAAGTTGGTAACCAGGATAGTTCTGTTTGGTGTTGGTGTTTAGCTTTAATTCTTGAATGAATTAAATCTACTTCATATAGAAATATTATGATATAAAATCTAACATTAAAGAATTTAAAATTTTTTTAAGGCAATATTTTAAAAACTAACACTATTTAAATTATTTCAATTTCAGAGTAGTAAAAAAGAAAATTCATCAAAACAGAAGGAAGCAGAAATGGAACCAAAAGACAAAATCTCTCCCCATAAATATCAAAGGTTTGGGCATATGTTTTGGAACAAAAATATCATGCCTTTTAGATCTTGGACTTAGCAAAATGTATTCACTCTTGTTTTCTTTGTGCTAGGAAAGCAAACACTGAATATAGAGCTAAATTTGTGTCCCCATCTCAGTATTTGTACAGAGATGGTACTTGGAAACGGGTGAGGGAAAACACGCTAAATCAGGTGAGTATTTGAGGCTCAGATTTTCTCTAAGGATATAGAAATGTTGAATTCTTCTTGAGGTCTTTGTGTTAGTGATGGAATATGGCATGAAAAGCTCATAGCGCCTTTGAAATTGTATTGTTAAAAATAGAGCATGAACCCAGGAGTGTGATTGGCAGGTCTGGACACAGGGATTTAAAAATGTTCTGAAGGCCTTTCTACTTCTTGTGCCTGTCTAGGTTCTTCCACATCTGAGTAAACTGAGTTTAGATACCTGCTGCTGCAGAATAGTTAATTAGTGCAGTCATTATTTGCAGAGCCTCTGCAATCTAAAATCAAGCTATAGTTAAGTCTTGTGTTAGATGATGGCACCCACTGGAAAAATGTGATGCTGCAGTCAGTGGTTAGATAATATAGGTATTCAGGAAGGAGGAGAGATGGCAGTGGAGTCGTGAGTCTGTAGCAGGGAATAATTCTTGTGATATGGAAAAGGGGTTTGGGCTAGAAGTGGGTTGTAGAGTCATTCTCAGAATTGGAAAATGGCAGGAAGCCACATGAAGCCATTAGGTGAAAAAGGAAAACACTTTAGCTATGATACCATTAAGATCATTGACACATTTTAGCTTAATAGTCAGGGTTCTCTGCTTTTACCATACCTACATGATTTAAAAATTTAAGTGGAGATCTTAGCAGTTTAGTTTAGAGCAGGAATTTATTGGCAATTACCAAAATAGGTTATCAGTCTGAGAAGGGGAATGATTCTGTCCTGTAGCAACATTTTGAAAACCAACGCATTCCTGAGGGATGGAGAAGGGACAGCTTGTCCCACGCTTTGTGCTTTCAGTTCAGTCCCTGTCCTTCTACTGCTCTAATAACTGGGGCCTTGAGGAAGCAGAAGGTGGCTTTTTCAGCTGGAGCTAACAAGTCTTCAGACTCATAGTTGGTAGCTTAGGATGTAAACATCTTGAGTGGAGATTGTTTCATTCTTTTTATTTATATACACAGTACCTGACACATACTCAGTGCCTAGTAAATGCTTCTTAACACCTCTTGTAAATGATCTTAACACCTCCTATTATTGCCAAAGTTTGTATGTAACCTTTACATACAACCCTTAGGTTGCATTTCACAAAAGGGTAATATCGTTTTCCATTCAGATCTTCCCTTTATGTTAATTTTGACCTGATCTCACTTTTTAAAAATCAGAAATGGGGATGAGTTGTATAAGAGGAGGACAGTTGAAATAAACTACTTATGTTATCTTATTCAAGCCTCACAACAATAAATAACAACAGTAAGTGGGTACGTTTATTATCCCCATTTTATAGAATAGGAAGATGAGCCTGAGAGAAGCTGAGTGACTTATATAGATGATGATCTTTTCCAGGAGTTCAAAGGAAGGAGACACTATTGGTGGGCTGCAGTGGGTCGGGGAAGTTTTAAAGAAGGGTTAGGAGACCCCCTTTGCAGACTGGTGAAACCTGTGGACCCTTTTTCAGAATATTGTTTTTAACTGTACAAAATAAAATGCATAGGATTACAAAAGAAAATGATTGTATTGAAATAGCCCAATATTTTTTAAAATCCACAAGTTCATGTTAAAAACTCAGGTTAAAATCTTCAGTTCTAAAGGTTGTAGATTCTCTACTTGAGAGAACATTTCTTACCTGTTTAGGTAAAATAAGATAGTGAGTCTACCAGGCTATTCTCCTCTCAATTTTACATTTTCAGGGAACTAGAGAGAGGTGATTTTTTAATGAAGGACCAATAGTTTTTATATTTCCTGGAAAGGAGAAAACTCCCAATGTCTCTTTGTATTAATATAGTTTATCCTTTTTTTTTTTTTGGTGAGGCAATTTGGGGCTAAATGACTTGCCAAAAGTCACATGGTTAGTGAGTGTTATGTGTCCGAGGCTGAATTTGAACTCAAGTCCTCCTGACTCCAGAGCCAGTGCTCTATCCACTGCGCCACCTACATGCCCCTAGTTTATCTAATGAATATTTTTGAGTGGGTAGAAAATCATGAGATTGCAGTAATAGCTGCTGCTGAGGTGGTTACAAACATTTTAAATAAATGGTATAGTTGACATCTGTCCCAGATGCTGTAAAGGTGAAATGGTTTAGAAAAGAAAATGAATTCTAGAAAGAAAAGGATACCAGAGATTCTTTGTGAAAGGAGATGTTTGTTACCAGGTATGCAACTACTGAAGTTGGAAGAAATTTGAGCTTTGTTGACACTCAGGTTTATCTATGTAAAATGTAAGACATTTAAGTTACATGTCTTTATTTGCATTTAGTTTGTTCTTTTTAACTTTTTCTTTTAAACATGGATTTTTTTTTTAAATTGCATTTTAACTGGTTGGAAAATTAAGGCATAAACAGAAGGAAATGCAGTTTATTTATATGTAATTTATGTTATGTAAGTGGAATATGTTGGATGCCCGTGAGAATTGTTGGACTTCTTGTTGGAGTTTTCAGTGAAAGTTTTAACTCTTCTAATGAAATTGACTTGTAGGGACGATATAATTGAAAAGAATACAGCATTACTGCTTTTAGTTAACCTAACATTTGTGACAACACTCACAGAATCATAGATTGTTTGAACCCAAAAGCATCTTTGTGTGCCATCTGTAACAGATGCCATCGTACCCAGCCAGTGCTGGGCACGACATAGCATTGATGTCATGAGAGTAGTGTGTTTGGAGTGCTTGGTAAGCCTTATGCCACCATGTGTGTGTCATTGTATTATCACCTAGTCCAACCCCTCGATTTGCAAGTGGGGAGAGAGAGGCCCAAAGGGGTATGTGGTTTGGCCAAGGTAGACCTGAGGTCATGTCTTCTTATTTCAGGTTCACTGTGCTTTCCACTATTCAAGAAGGCCAATTTGGGAGATTTGTAATTCTTGTAATTATGATTGTTTTTAATTAAAATAAACTTGAAGATTCTATGGGATGAAAATTAATGTACCACATTGTAACAGATTACTGATAACAAACACTGACATAGAAATGATGTTTAAATAGAAATGATGTTTAAATGAGTTGGAAGCATTAAAGATTATATACCCATGACAAATAGAATTAGATTAACTACAGTAGAAATCTTGTTAAAAATAATGTTGGCATTAGATAATAATCATTGGTTTAATGAGAGAGATCCTATAAACCACTCTATACATAGGAGATATTTTCCTTGCAATATAATTTAACTGGATTTTAAAGATTTTTTTATATTTAAACTACACAAGTATTTTGGTTGAATTGGGCAATAGGAAAAAAGTTCTGGAAAAAAATGAATGTTTCTTTTAGCCTTTATCTGTTTAATGCATCAGACTTAGGGTAGTGCTTTTCATATAAGACAGATATTTTTAAAACTGAATATGAGTGCTGCTCCAAAGAGCAGAAAAACTTGCCAAGTCTCTGATCCTGCCTCCTTTGGACTTAGGGATTCTCTAGAGATTTGACATGATCTTTATCCCTTTACTTTCACCAGGGCTCTGTTACAGGGCTTTGAATATATTTCTCCAGTTGCTTTAGTAATGCCAGACTTCCTTACTTTTTTTTTTAGTTTAAATAGGTTTAAAAAAGGGGGCAGCTAGGTGGCACAGTGGATAGAGCACCCTGAAGTCTGGAGGACCTGAGTTCAGATCCGGCCTCACACCAAACACTTGACACTTACTAGCCGTGTAAGCCTGGGCAAGTCACTTAACCCCGATTGCCTAAAAATAAATAAATAAATAAATAAATAAAATAAGTAGGTTTAAAAAAAAAAGACTTGCCAGATGCAGGCCTCGCTGAAAGAATGGTAAATATAAAAATAAAGAGGTAAATGCAGTTCTAAGTTTCTGTACAAAGACACCATTTTATTCTATTTGGATTTAGTGTCTTTATTCCTTTAGCTTCTGTTCTTTGCTATGATAAACAAAGATTATTTTAAAGGTCTTAAAGGTTTTTTTTGTGAGGAAAATGTATAATTGAGACATTTCTTTTAAAAACAGCTTAGAATAGTATTTAGTAATAAGCCAACAGGTGGCAGTGTGATGCAAACAATTAAAAGATTTCAAACCACTGAAAAGTTCCTTAAGTCATTTTTTATTCAAAAGGACACAACTAAAAGTGCTTTGCAAATTAGTAGGAAGATAAAACTACATTCTGAACATTTAAAGAAGTATTCATTTTTTTATGTCCTGTCCTTTCTTGATGTATGTATGTATATTGTAGTTTAATCCCAAACCACATACTATGAAGAAATAGCCCTCTTTTTCTTAAGAGATCTCACAAACCCGTTAAGGAATTCAGAGAAAAGATTTTTGCTTATCAGAGAGCTGGTGGGGATTGGGGTAGTAGCACAGAAAAACTAAGATTCTTTTCAATCAGTATTAAAATGCATGCTGTGGGTGTACGTATGGGGAGTCCTGAGCCAGGTAACGGAGGGAGGGGATAGAGAAAAAAGAAAACAGGCCCGAATTCTTGGAACTTACTAGCTAGTGAGGGCAGGAAAGACATAAGACTTGGAATCAGAAGACTGGGGTCTGAGTCTGGCACGGCTGCTAATTGGTTGGGCAGGTGACTCCACTTTCCTGAGCCTCACTTTTTTAATCTATAAAATAGAGACTATTAGAAGCGGGACTGCTGTTAAGAATCAAATGAAATAACCCTTAGTAGCTATAAAGCCCTATGTCAGTATAAGTGGTTATTGTATGTGTTGGAGAATGAAGTGGTTTTGGCATTTGCTTGCTCTGAACAGATGGAAATTTGTAACCCAGGTTGAATGATGGAGTCAGGATATGAAAAGAACAGATCTTGGCTAGAACAGGTGTTCTTAGCCTGGGAAGGAAAGAAGGAATGAAATAAGTGTTTATTAAATACCTAGTATGTACTGGACACTGGGCTAAATGGTTACAAATAGTATCTCATTTGACCCTAACAACCACCCTGGGAATTAGGTGGTGTTATTATCCGCACTTTACAAGTTGCAGAAACAAAAACAGAGGTTTAGTGACTTGCTCGGGATCACACAGTTAATACAGAGTCTGAGGCTGAATTTGCACTTGACTTTCTAGATCCAGCCCAGTGCCTGCACTGCACCACCTAGCTGCCTTGAACCACAGACCTTGGGTGGTCTGCCAACTTGTTCTTCAGTATTTTGGTAACTTTATTTCAACATAGTTTCTTTTGTACTCATATATATTTTGTTTTATGCATTTAAAAACATTACTCTGAGAAGAAATCCATAGGTATCATCCTACTGCCAAATGGGAGTCCATGCCACACACAAAAAAGATTAAAAACCCCTGGGCTAGAATAATGGGCTTAACTGAATGAGATGAAATTGAATAAGGATCAATATAAAATTTTACACAGGTTCAAAAAAATACATTTCACGAAGTTGAGGTAAATATGTATAGATAGCAGTTTCTCTGGAAAACAACCTGGGGGTTAATATCAACACGAGTCAACAATGTGATACCGCCACCAAACCCCCTCCTGTGATGTTAGGTTGTATTAAGTGCTGTGCAGTGTTTAGAGGACTATGTCGATGATGACCCTGTCATGCCCTTCCCTGGTTTTGACCACCCTCGGGGTATTATGTTCAGTTCTCAGAGCCACCTTTTAGGAAGAACATTGATAAACATTAGAGCATCCAAGAAGCATGACCACGATGATGAAGGCCTTCATCTCCTGCCATATATGGATTGGTTAAGGAAGTGGGAATGAGAAGAGAAGATTTGGGGGCAAGATCACCACTTAAGCATTTACTAAGTGCCAACTGTATGCCAGGCGCTGTGCTAGGAGCTGGGCATCCAAAAACAAAAGTGACACAATTCCTGCCCTTGGTTACTAACATTTATTTACATTTATTATGTATGTACCAAGTAAATGCAAGATATATTTGGGAGGAGCAGGGGGAGACACCAGCAGTTAGGAGGGTTAGGGCTTCATTTTGAAGATGGCGTTTGAAAGAAGAGAAGGTTCCTGAGAGGCAGAGGTTAGGAGAGAGGGCATTGCCGGCTTTTAGTTCGGTCTGTCTGTAGGCATCATGACAGGAGATTGGAATGTTGTGTGTAAGGAATAGCAGCACAGCCAGTTTGGCTGGACTGTTGAGTATGTGAAGCAGAAGAGTGTGTAAGAAAGCTGGAAGTAGGTTGGACCCGGTTTCTGAGGGGCTTCAGAATGCCAAATAGAGGAGTTTGTATTTGATCTGAGAGGTAATGGGAAACCACTGAAGCTGATTGAGTCGGAGAGCGACATGGGCAGATGCCCTTTGCGTGAGGAACACCGTTTTGGTAGCATGTGGATGAGAGGGAGTGATCTGAAGGGCTGTCATTTGGGAAAAGGATCAGTCTTGTTCTCTTTGGACCCAGAGGGTAGAAGTGGGTAGAAGTTGCAAAGAGGCAGATTTTGGCTTGTGAGGAAAAGTTGCTGCTAGTTGGAGCTCTCCTATAGTAGTATGGATGTTTGAGAAGGAAGGAGTGGGTCCATCCCACCAGAGGGCTTCAGACAAAGGCTGGCTGACCAGTGGAGAAGGGGTGTTGTAGAGAGGATTTTCATTCAGCTCTGAGTTGAACTTAATAATCTCTGAGGGCCCTTCTGTCTAGGAGATTTTGGGGAATTTGAGAGAATAGGGTTGGGTCAATTCTGTGTATCTAAAAGTGAGGATGATGATGTGTGATTTATTGGTTCCCCGTGATGATGATATGGTATTATCATACTGACATATTTCAAATGTGTTTTCTGTATTCCTCCTCCTAGGGTTCTCAAAACACCCTAAATTCCCTGTGGTATGCTGAGGTTGGTTGCTTCTGAGTTTTTAAAAAATCTAATGCATAGAATATTTGTGCGAGCTCAGACTGAAAATAAAAGACTCCAAAATTACTGTATTCCTAGTTGCTACATAATGTCCCTGCCTGCTGAATGAATAACTAGCACTGTGCTTTAGCTTGACACTTCTGATTTCTGCTTTCAGAATGCGTATAGTCATGCAAATGTGGCTAATTTTTCTTTTCTTTTCTTCATTTTGTGGTCTAATTTGTGCTGTGAATGTTCAAGATTGCCTATCTTTGCTTTTTGATGTTTGTAACAAAAAACTCAGATTTTTATAGTGATGCATGGCATCTGGTTTCTTCCTGTATAGGTTAAAGAACTTCGAGAGAAAGCTGAGTTTTATAGGAAACGGGTACTTGGGACGCATTTTTCTCGGGATCATCTGAACCAGATTCTCTCTGAAAACAATCGCCTATGGGATGTCTCTTCTGTGTCCAGCTCAGAAGGAACTGTTAGTAACAACATCAGAGCCCTAGATCTTGCTGGGTGAGACGCCCCCCCCCTTTTTTTTTAGATAGTGAAACTTTTCGTCATAGTTACAAAACTGGGATTTAAAAAAATAAATGGAATAATGATATCAGAAAATGACACCTATCACTCAGACTTTACAGATTGCATATAGTAGGCACTTAACCCAAGCTTAAGTGGTGATGTTGCCCCCGAATCTACTCTTCTCATTCCCAGTTCCTTAACCAATCCATATATGGCAGGAGATGAAGGCCTTCATCATCGTGGTCATGCTTCTTGGATGCTCTAATGTTTATCAATATTCTTCCTAAAAGGTGGCTCTGAGAACTGAACATAATACCCCGAAGGTGGTCAAAACCAGGGAAGAGCATGACAGATTGAAAAGTGAAAATCACTCTTAAGATCTTATTGATTCCGAAGTGAATACCAATAAATATGTACCGAAGAAAAAATGCCATAGGAAGTAGGAACAAATAAATTTGGCTTTGTTTATTGTGTATGTGATGAAATTAGTGTATCTGGTGTGGGGGATGAGTGCAGAATCTCTTTGCTCTATATGCTTGCTGGTTTAATTATGTCTTTAAACATTCACATGTCTAAAGGAGAATTTACCACTTCACTGGATGGAGGTTTCCTCATTTTCAAACGTATTTGTGCTTTTAAAATGAGCACTTGTATGTGCAGATTGAGTAATAGTGCAGGTGACCATCTAGGCCACACGACTTGCTAGAGCCTGTGTGCAGGCAGCTGTCAGGTGTGGGTTTTGTGGGCTTTGTGGGTGTGGCTTCATGAGTGAATTTTCATGTAATTGCAAGTGCAACATGGAACTAATTGTTTTTGTATTTTGAATTGTGTGTAAATTCCAGATGACTACTTTCATTGACTATTCTTTAAAGTGAACCTATTTGTATGTGTTACCCCTCTTTCATTATATCTGTTGCAGTGGCATGAGACACACACACACACACATATACACACACACGTTATTTATATATAGGTATACATAATATGTATTTATGAATAATGGAGGAAACTAAACTGGAATAAAATTACTTCAAACTGGAGAAACTATGTTATTAGCTTATAATTAAATTTGTTTTGGTCATACAGAGTTCCTACAGGTCATAAGACATTGCAGAGCCATGATTCCAAAAAAAAAGCAGAAGAAAGGCCACCTTTGGCAACAGAGTGTCAGAAAGATACTACAGAAAAATTGGGTGTGTCCGATGCTCTCACCCTCCCTGTTAGAAGAAAACTGGCTTGGGATGAAGGCGGCGCTGGTGATCAGATACATAACCATGAAAGAAGAGTGGAAGAAGAGAAAAATGAAAATGACAAGCAAGATTGTAGAGAGGAGGCCAAGGAATTAGAAGAAAGTGATAGTGATGTCAAGAGAGACAGGATCCAAGCAGGGTGAGTTTTTAATTGTCCGTTATAGGAGATCACTTTTCCTCTACATTGTGCTTTATGGTTATGTACTTAATTTGATGTAAAAGGCAAAAGATTTATTTGATATTACATTTGTTAGTAATCAAGTAAAATGACTGTGAAGTTTTCAAATGTGTAGACAAATCACAGCATATGTTGCATAAGTATCATAAAATAGGTCCCTTTATTTGACACCACTAAAGTTAAGAATTTGGCTCACGTATTTCCTGTGGAATACAGAGCCACCCTAAAGTTCAGTTGTCCTGTGGCCCCTTCCCCAGAATACCTTGCCTTTCTCATTACTCTTTCAAATTAGTGTGGGGCATTGGTTGTCCTGGCCAAGGGCATTTCAGGATAGCTGTTTGGAGTAAGAATCAGCCCTCATCCAGCAAGGTGAGTCAGTTATCTGTACTTTATAGCATCAGGTCTCTTTGTTATGAATAATCTAGATTTGATTACATTTGATAATGGAAATGTCCCTCTTGTAAGTTTAGAATTAACCCTTGCATATCAGTGACACACATGTCTTGATCATGTTTTTGCAGAGAGACCGCTTCCCTACCAAGTGCTTCAGTAGCAGATGGGTCAGATTCTTCTTCTGTGTCCTCAGGAAAAGGTGGCCGGCTCCCAACTCCGAAGCTGAAAGAACTTGGTGGAGCCCCCAGGACTCATCACGATCTAACTACTCCTGCTGTTGGTAATAAGGAGAGAAGAGCTAGCAGAATCTTTTCTGCCTAGTGCTGTCCAGTTTGCTTTAAACGTGTTGCCTTCTGCATTCTTCCAGGGGGTGCTGTTTTAGTGTCTCCATCTAAAGTGAAGTCTTCATTCCCAGAACATAGGAGAAAAAAGTCTTCTCCAGATTTCTTAGGAGAAACTTCAAAGAATGAATCTAATAGGGTAAGATAAGAGTCATTGTTGGTGAATATGTTTAATGAGATGGGGATGGGAGAGCAAGGAAGCCAAATCTCTTTCTGATTTAAATAAATATGTTAGCACTATGCAGGAAATGCCTAACAACTTTAGCTCTAGAAGAAGTACTATTTCATAAAGTAAGGTGACTGGTGACTTGCTGTTAGTGAAGTATACACTTGAAATGGTTTTTCTAGTAGTGGAAATTAATTCCCTGATCGCAGCCCACCACCTACTGCCATTTGTAAATAAGGAAGCAAACATTAATGAGATGGCTTGTTGGGGTTTAGGGTATATAGTCTATGGTCTAATTTAGAAATTGAAACTATTATTTTGGCTGTATTAGCTCTGTACTTTAATCAAGTGAGCTGACTTTTCATAGATGAAACATGTATAGTCTTAGAATAAATAAGGTGGCTTATTGTAACTTAATTTTTATTTTTAAATTTATTTGATATTGTGCAATAGAGAATAGCAGAGCAATTTCTTTACAAGCTGGTTAGCATCAAATACTGATTGGTTTTAATTGAAACTTCAGAAAACAGTTTTTGTAGTAGTGGTTTCAGGTTTAAACAATTTTAACCCCCTTCGTGTGTCATTTCAAAAGAGAAAAATCCTTAACAATTTTGATATAGTAAAGTGCAGATGCAACTTTTTTCAGAAGTAAAATTCGGGCTCGGACCTTGAGAGCCAACGGTGGCCTGGATGGTGTGGCTTGGTTTGCTCGCCTGATTGATGACTGCTTTGGTTAGAACTACACTGACTCCTTAAGAGAATAGCAAAAGAAACAGGAAGTGAAGGCTAAAGTTCATCCTGTAGTTTAAGTTTCTCTAGGAGCTTCTGATTTGTTTGTTTGTGATGCATAATTTTGAAAACTACATATCATTAGGCTACATAATACAATTGAGTTATAAAACTGTTCTATTAATGTTTTGTTCTTGGGGTCTCTGTCAGGGTCCTGAAGTAGTACTGAGTAGTAGTATAGTAGAGTAGTACTGAATGTACATTCTAGTTTCTGTGGTTCATTTTTATTATGGTCAAATTAGAAATTTTTGAATAATGTGAAATAAATGAATGCTACCCTAGCATTCCAGGCTGCATCCTAATAGGCAATATGTAAGAGGTGAATAACAGCTTTGAATTTGAAAATATTTGCATGCTACAGATTGCAGGTGATTTTCACTAGATTTTTCAGCTATTCATTGAGTAAAATCACATTGAATAAAAATGGCCCTGTTCAGATAATGAGTCCAGGAATTCTTAACCCCTTTGTGTCTCGGATCCCTTAGGCAGTCTGATGAATAGATCTACAGTTTAGAGTAGTGTTTTTAATGGAGTAGAATAAATCTGTGGGATTACAAAGGAAACTAATTGTACTGGAATGTGCTTATCCAATGTGAAATAATGATATAATAATAAAATGTAATTATTTCCTTAAATTTTATTGAATATAAATATGATGCCATTAAATATTATTAAAAGTTTTAAAAATATTTAAAAGTTAAATTTTTTTAAAGTTCACAGACCCCAGGTTAAGAACTCCTATGTTTATGTTAGTATTTTGTTTTAGAAGTTAGTTGGAGGAACTCTTTTGATCAGGTAGTTTGTACCCAATACAGGTGAGCTCTTTCCATTGTTTGGCAGCAGTCTCAGTTCACAAAAGGGAGTTACTCTGTGTAGATTTAAGTTCCATATAGATATTATTCCCATATAGTTAATCTCCAAAAGAGAAAAAAGTAACAGTCAAGAAACTAAAAAGATTCTCCACCAGTCAACCCTTGACTTGTAAATGATGATCACTCCAGAAATTTGCATTTTTAGCATTAAGATCTTTTGCATAGCTGCAATTTTTCTGTTTCTGTTTTCTCTTACACATCGAGAAGAATTAAGACCTAGAAGCACAAAAGTGAGATAAATCAAAGCTTTTCATAGGATTGGTTTAGGAGCACTTGTAGAAAAGATTTGATTCATTATCACTGGGGAAGATAAAGCCATTGGCTGTGGAGAGATAAGAAAGGTTGGTAGGGCTTTGCTGTCAGCTGAAGCTAGGAAGCAGTGAAGTAGCCTAGGGGTTTTAATGCTGAGTGAATAAGTTAGAGAAAGCACTAAGTATGTTGGTTTGAAGATCCAAGATGCAAGGACTAGTTAAGAATGAGAAAGGTATCACCTTTATCTTTCTTTTTTAAAATAAATCCTCCTTTATAGAAATTACATACTTTAATGTTTGCCATGTTTAGCTGTTTTAATAGTTACATGGTTTTATTTAAAGAAGAGAAATGAGTGTACTTTAGTCTAGCTCTCATATAAAGCTTGAGCTTTTATCATTTGAACCACAGTCTTCTGATAGAGGCCCCACCACCGGCTAGGGTCTGCATACTTATAATGTAGGGAAAATAAAATCTAAGGGAGAGAACCACTTTAGCTCTAAACCTAAAGAGACAAGCAGATATCATAGGAATTCACTTAGGAATTGTCAGGCAGGGGGAGAACATCAGCGATCAGCAGTTCAATGAGTATTTACCATATAAATATTTATTTAAAGCGTCCAAAGCCCTATTTTTAATCTATTTTGTTCTTCTTACAACTTTCTTTTTCTTTTCTTTTCTTTTTCTTTTGGCGAAGCAATTGGGGTTAAGTGACTTGCCCAGGGTCACACAGCTAGTGAGTGTCAAGTGTGTCATCTGAGACTGGATTTGAACTCAGGTCCTCCTGACTCCAGGGCCTGTGCTCTATCCACTGTGTCACTTAGCTGCCCCCTTCTTGCAACTTTCTAATCGGGAGGCATTACTCCTGCCATACTGCTCCCATTCCAATTAGCATTCACTTCTTTTCTCTTGTATCATCATAAGCCCTTCGTTCTGTTTTTTTTTTAATCTTTTAGAAAGAACTTGGTCCTAGACCCTTATTGACTCCTCTGGCAGCTGGTTTGAAAACAGTGGATCCCCTCCCATTGAGAGATGAGATTGAAACCAGTATTTCCAAATCGGGTGGGGCTCATCCAGGCCCAAAGCATCCTGAGCATTCCATAAAAGTCCCCGTGCAGGGGTCTCGGCCTCTCTGTGCTCCATCATACTGGAATCCATCTTGTCGAATTCAGGGGTCGCTCAGGAATGCAGAGTTCCAGCATAACGGTGAGCTTCTATTTTATCTTGTTCTTTAAAACCTATAGCATACTGATATATATATATATATATATATATACACACACACACACATACATACACACACACACACACATATATACACACATATATATACACACACACACGCGCACACACACAAATCCACATGCATGTATATGTACATATACCCACATATACACATATGTGTTTATTGTTTATAAAGATGATGTCAACAACATTGAACGTGTCTCATGACTGAAGTAGTGAGATTGACAACTGGTAGTAATGTATAAAACAAACTTCTTACTTTATAGCCACATACATATTGTGAAAATGATGTGATTCGTTAGTGTTACGTACGCTGTTAGTTTGTACATCCAACATGTGATATTTAAATTACAGTAGAGACAGTTCAAATTGGTAACAACAGCAGCTGAAGGATCCCCCTGCCAATAAATCAGATGAGTAATAGGCATTGTCCAGCTGTGTGCATGTCCAGCTTAGCAATTATCATCTTAGCACTGTCAGTCTGACAGCCTGGTCCACTATTTGTAGTGGACACCTTTACTAGATAGCTGTATCATGCTTTTATATTTATAAAAATTATGAAATTGATATTCTTTAGTAGTCTGCCTTCTGTTAAGTGGTTTTATATAAAGGAGTCAGCTATTTAGAGCCAGAACAAATCTATTTTGCTTTTTTCCCCCCCATAGGAAACATTGTGAGCCCAAGAACAGGCCTTTACCATTTACCTCACCAAGAAGTCAATGATGAAGGTAATTTGCTAAAAATTGAGTGAGACTTGATTGAATGTAAGGTTTCTAAAAATTACCATTTCATGGATCCAGCCCACAAATCAGTGTTTGGGTCTAGAATGATATTTTATATATTTTAATTGCCCATGTTTACTTGTATTTTTTTTCCTCAGAAACCCCTTTCCCCCAGTTGAAGAGCAAATACATTTTTTTCTCTGCATAATTTTCACTCTCGCTGATTGTCATTAGTATCAGTAGGAAGAGCTCTGAAAGTTTGATGAGAATGTTTGAAGAAGGTATAAATGACTACTAACAAAATATGCTTGAATTTCTCAATTATTAATTTGATTACTAAAATACCTGTATTTATATTCACGCATTTCAGGGTTTAATATTTTTCCCCCTGCATTCCTAGGCCTCTGAGGCCTCTTTTTGAAGATTTAGCAAATGGTCATTGAATTATTATACATTTAAAAATGCATATACTTGAGATTTCTTAATGCACATTTTTTTTAAAAGGTAGCCTTTTTTTTTTTTGCCATTAAGTATTCAGCCAAATTTTCCTGAATAGACTACTCTGAGAAAGAAAATTGAGTACTTAACTGAATTTGTTGTTGTTCGGTAGTGTCCAACTCTTTGAGACCCCATTTGGGATTTTCTTAGCAGAGGTACTGGATCGGTTTGCCATTATCTTCTCCTTACTTTACAGATGAGGAAACTGAGGCAAACAGGGTTAAGTGACTTGCCCAGGGTTCCATAGCTAGTAACTGTCCGAAGCCAGACTTGAACTCACCAAGATGAGTCTTCCTGACTCCAGGCATAGCACTCTATCCACTGCACCACCTAGTTGCCCTACTTAATTGAATTACAAGCTCCCAAAATTAGAAGCAGTTTCTTTTTCTCTAAATTGTCTTAAAGTTTTAAAAATGTGCCATAATTCTCATAGTAGGGAACATATTAACATATGTTCTGCTTTTAAGAGGAAAGAAACCCAGAATTATAAGTAGTGTTAATGGGTTGGAAGCGACAAGGCTGGGGTCTAGTCCCACCTTTCCTCTTGGCCAGTTTGGTGACTTTGTTCTGTGTCACTCCACATTTCTGGGACTCAGTTCTCTCATCTATAAAATGAAAGGTATGGTCTATTAAGTCATCTTGGAGCTTCTGGCTTCTAGCTTTCCTATTCTGATGCTGTTACATTATAGGACTTGTTGGTATTTATGGCTATGTTAGTTTCCTTTTTACTGAGTTGTTATAAATACATACAAGGAATGATAGGTTTTGGTTACCCTGACTTGTGATTGTGGATTTTTCCATTGTAGATGATGACAGATTGTCCCAGATTTCTGCTCGGTCTGCAGCCTCTAGTCTGATGGCTTCTCAAACTTTGGCACGTGCTCAGAAAAGGAAAGAGAGTTTTTGGGGCAAAAAATAGTGCTCTTTATGAATAGCTCTTTCCATTTTGGTGACTATTGCTGTGATTATTTTTTTTCATTCCAAGGTTTTTAAAGTGTTTGGGATTCTTGTATTTTGGGGGAAGGAGAGGTTGGCTTTGTCTAGGGATATGAGTAACTGTATTCTAATAGCCATTTCAGTTCAGTCATTTTAATTTTTTTTCTTTATGTAGACAAATTGAATTTTAACTTTAAGTTAATTGCCATTTTAAACTTACCTGAAAAGGTACTAATGGATTTACCTAGTCCTTCACATGTTCTGAACTTAACTATTTCTCATCAAGCATAGTTTGTAGAATTGAGAATTACATCTATGTTACCAAGAGTATTCTGAAAAGTTAAAGTGTGTAAAAACTAAGAACTAAGTTTGAAATGTGTGGTTTTGTAGGATTGGTTACCTATGTTTATAAATTAAAGATGTCATAAATTGAATCTGTACCCACAATGTTCACTTCTAGATTTTTTTTATTTTTAAAAAATGTCCTTCGGGATATAGTTACTCTTAGTATGATTAAAATAATTGTACTTAGGTTGAAAATGTTAACTGTATATATATTTTTTATCTTATATAAGAAATTTGCTTAAAAATATGTATATTTTTGGTCTCTGTGTTTTTGATTTGTATAAGAGCTTGTCTTACATTTTAATAATGTTTGAAGGTGGAAAAGTTATTTGTACAATGAAGCATTGAAACTTTTTAGACATTTTCAAATAAAAAAGATCAAGTGTGTTTGGTTTCTCCAGGAAGTTATTTCATGGAACAGTGGTAATCTTTTTACAGGGTTTTTCCTCCAAGAGCAAGGTGACCAAAATTTTCTATACTTCCTTTAAAGCTTTTGTTACAATACAATAGAAGATGAGTCCAGATCTTTCACCTTTTTGTGACGGGGGGAGGGTAAGAATGGACAGCTGTGAACAGAGAGAAGGGGACGTATAAGGGTGACTCAAAGATAGAAACAAGCAGTCCTGGCAACAGATCATCTGTATGGGATGGGAGCTGAGGTGACTGGAAGCTTGGTGATACCCTAGACAGTAGTAGGGAAATTCATAAGACAGGAAGGTTGGAAGGTGGGGTGGGAGGGGAAGATAATCTGTCCTTATGGTATTCATGTTTTTTATTTTCTGATAAAACTCCAAATGTCCCTAGTTCATAGTTTTAATTATTTAAAGTCTGTTACAGAAATCAATACAGGTAATGATGATGCAATGTGTGTCTTAAAGCCTTTTTCATGAAACACCAACACCCGTTAATGAATAGGAGAATCACCACTGTTCAGCATTGTTCTCAGATACTTGGTTTTGTCCGGTAAACTGTTCAAAAATTACAGTTCCCTCCCAAATATCATAACATGGGTCTAGGTATCCACCATCTACTTAAATCTCAAATTCTTATTAAAAAGAACTATTTTTCCCTATTCAAACCATATTTGATATTGAAAATATAGATAAAAAGGAGCTATTATTTTGATGAAATTTAAGATTGAAAGCACAAGAACCAACTCTGTATACTGTACTTAGTGACTTGAGATAGCGTAGCTCTGTCTGTAGTGACCTACATATATAGCTAATACGAAGGCATTTTTGGGTGGAGGTGCTGAAAGGATTTTTCTGTTTCCGGTATGTGGTAAGACAGCTTGCTTCTGACTAGTGCAGTGACTCAGCTACTCTACTGTGTGGAATTAATTACCTCTTTTATGCAAAGTATGTTAAGGCAACCAGGGTCCTAATGACATATGTCAGGAAATCCAGACCAGGTAAAATACCCACAGTAATTGGTCTGACGTGTGATGAAGGAAAGTTAAATGAAGTTTCCCTCTGAATATAAGCATGCTGTCAAAGACTGTTTTGGTAAGCCGTAAGATTTTGGTTGTTCCAAGAAAGGAATAAAACTTCTTACACTAACGTCTGGGCAGTAGGTGGTGCAGTGGATAGAGCACCAGGTCTGGAGTCAGGAGGACCTGAGTTCATATCTGGCCTCACACACTTCCTATTGATATGACCCTGGGCAAGTCAATCAACCTCTGCTTGCCTCAGTTTCCTCAACTGTAAAATGGGAATAGTAGTAGCACCTATCTCACCAAGAGTATTCTGAAAAGTTAAACTGTGAAGAAATAGTAGATAAAACTTGGAGTTGGGATATATGATAAAGAAATTAAGATAGTACACATGTGCAGGCCAATTATGTGAGTTGTAATGAGTGAGAGCTCTGAGCATACCATCAAGGAGGGATGAGCCCATAATGAGCAATTTAGTTTATTATATAATGTCCCAGATGAAACATTAAATCAGGTCAAAAGAGGTGAGTTCCTGGAGAAACCACATGAAAATTCAGCATAAGGGTAACATGACAATATCGATGCTTTGTTTCTCGAAATAGCAAATAGGATGCTAGGGTTGTGAGATTCTGCAATGAAAGTTCCTCCAGTATTTTCATTAACAAGAGAGAAGGCATTTGGCATTGACCTGTTACATCCTGTTCTTCGTGGGCAAGACAAGTCTGAGCAATAATTCTTGGGCACATGTTCTGAGTGTTATAAGAAGGTGGCAGGTTCTGTCAGCACCCCAAATTGAAATATAGTTACTAGAACGTACAGACACCACACCTCCCCCCACCAGCCCCATCCCTGTAAGGAGTGACTCTCATCACTTTTCAAGAAGACACATTTTTAAAATACTTAAAACCATAGAATTTCAGCTGTGATTTAGAGTCAAAGGAACTGGAATCCTGCACCTGCTACTACTTTGTTGCTGGTGTGACTTTAGACATCACAACCACTTGAAGACTCAGTTTCCTCATCTGTAAAAGGGTAGGAAGAAGGGGCTTGGATTACATGATTTACTAATGATGTGAACTCTACCATTTGAAGCAGTCTATTGTATTTATGCATGTCTCCATTTATTAGTTCTTCTTTAGGTTGAACCCAAATCTGTATGCCTGTAGTTTCCATCTGTGGATCCCTAGTTAGTTTTGTGTTCTAAAACTACATATGTATATATGTGTGTTTTTTATATATATATATTATATATATATATATATACACACATATATATACACACACACATATATAAAATACATATGTATATATGTATGTGTGTATATGTATGTGTGTGTATCTATACACACTCACACACATATATATATATACATATAAATAAATATATAAAATCTCTCTTACATGAGACAGACCTTCAAATGTTTTAAGACAACAATGAGTCTTGAGTTTCTTTAACAGTTCCCCCCCTTTGGTGATTTTGAGACAATCTTATCATCTAGGACCCACCACCTCTAGACACATTTCAGTTTGTCAAACGACTATATGTATTTCTAGGTTCAAAAACTCTTCTGTTCATGTGTATTTTAGGAAAGGGGAAAAAAAAGACTCTTTACAAAGCCAGTTATAAAATCCACTAGAAGCCTATTACAGCTTCATTAAGAATCCCATTCATCATGAAAGTGGGGGAAGGAAGTAAGAGATGCTATGCAGCCTCCCTTGGAGCTGTTCTTTATTTGTAAAATGAGAGGATTGGTGGGTTGCAGTCCCTTTCAGACTGAAAGCAATAGTCTTGTGATCTTGTAACATACTAGGCGGCTACCAGGAAAAACTCATACTCGGAAGAGAAGAGGCATGTTCTGTGAATGCATACTGCATTTGCTTTTAATAAGTTTTGTCTCTTTTGGTAACCAAGATGCATGAAACTGAGGATAAGCAAAAAAGATTTTGCTCCCTGAAAAGAGATTCAGGGGAGACAGAATGAGAAAAGAATAGCCTTTGGGTTAATTGGATATGCCCAGGAAGCATTATATGCCCTCTCTCTGTTAAGTGGCAGATGGGGTAAATGAAAGAGCTAGGTAAGAACACGTTGATACCAACAGCACTGAAATGATGGGGAGCTGTATAAAAAAAGGTTCTCAACGTCAGACGTGTAAATGAGAAAAACCTTAAATGTTCTCCTTAAGGCGTAATAAGGACAACCAGAGTTGGAATTTTAATGTGAGAAAATTACAATATTATATGGAGGTTAAAATGCCAAATGGGATTTCATGGAAGTCGTCGGGAGTTTAATGAGTTGGAGAGGAGGGGTGACTTGGTCAGATCTACTTTTTAAAGTTACCTTGACAGCTCAGAGGAAGATGGACTGGAGTGAGAAGAGACCTGAGGCCAGGAGACCAGCTCGGAGGCGACTGTAATAGTCCAAGCAGGAGGTGATTGAGGTTCTAAGCTAGGGTGGTGACTAGAGAGCACAAGTAGCCCAGAGTTGGGAAGGCAGAAAGAAGAGTATTTGGCAATGGATTGGATTTGTAAGGTGAGAGTGAGGAGTGGCAGATGACACTGAGATTGTGGGTCTGGGAGATTTAGTGGTACACCACACAAAACGTCAAATTCAGATAGAAATGGGGGCCATTAAAAAAACCCCATGGACAGCACAGGCTTGCCGTGGTCTGTCGGGTCATGAAGAGTTGGATGCGACTGAACAACAGCAACGACAGTTTTGTATGTTGTGGAGTGTGGTTTTCTCACATATTCTAATACAGGTAACCATAATATTTAATTAGCTAGGACGCCTCAGTCTTCAGACAATATGGACCAATGGCACTTTATGTTAAAAAGGGAAATGGGAATGCCATTTTCATTTTACTTACAATAAAAGTTTCATGAATTTAGGCTAATTGTAGGGTGGTTCATTTTGATCTAGTGGCAAGTCAATTATGGAATGTCTTTTTAAAAATGCAATTTTGTTACTTTCTAGTACGTACATAATCATATGTTTGTGCATATGTATATATGGATGTGTATATATATACATGTACATGTATATGTATGTATGCATATATTCATACACACACCCACACACCCACACACACCCACACACACACACACACAGGGACCTCTTGTCTCCCTCCCTCCCCTTCCCCTGCCACCTAAGAGGAATAGCAAACCTAACCCCTTCCCGGCTCATCCTGCAACACCCTTTGGAGACAGTGAGCTTCACTCTTCATCCTACCACCCACTATTATCCCTATTTCTACTCCTGTACTTCTATCTATCCCTGTATTAATCTTTTACCAGCCAATGGAAGGAGATAACGATCCCCGTCTTTCTCCTCCCATTCTCTCATCTCCGTACTCAACCCCACTCCATTATAGCCCACTCCAATCTTGCTTACTTCTATTGCACTTTCTGGAATTCCTGTTCCATAGTGATTAAAGTCCCTTTCATCCTGGACTTCTTTCTCTCATAATCACTGAGACCAGTGTCTTTTCTGGTGACACTCACCACATCCCCATTTATTCCCTCCAGTCCTATCTGTAGCTTCTCTCACACCTTCCTCTCTTGCCCCCAGGTCCTGGACAGGGGGGTTAGAATACTCTTTGTTCCCCTTTGTCATTTCCAGACTCTACTTTTATCTCCATCACCCAGTAACCTTCTCTTCTTTCAAGTCCACTCCATCAAAATTTTCCTCCCAAACTAAATTATGATAGGTGTAGCAAACTGAGTCCCACATCATTTCCTTTCTCAACGAGTTTAGTATCTGGTTTACCAATTTGCTCACCTCCCCCAACTCCTGCCCTTATACTTTGCTGTGGTTGTTGAGTTGTGTTCAATTCTTCATGACCCGATGGACCATAG